CCAGTTTATCGAGGTCTTTGAAGTCTTTGGTATTGAAGCTGCCCGTACGGCTGTGCTTCGGGAATTGACCCAAGTGCTTGCCTTCGACGGTTCCTATGTCAACCACCGGCATCTGGCGCTCCTGGTCGACGTCATGACGGTGCGAGGTTATCTGACACCGGTCACTCGCCACGGTATCAATCGTGCTGACAATGGTGCCCTGATGCGGTGTTCGTTCGAAGAGACGGTGGAGATTTTGCTGGAAGCTGCAGCCTTCGGAGAACTCGACGACTGCCGCGGTGTGTCGGAGAATCTGATCCTGGGACAGATGGCCCCGGCTGGTACAGGAGAGTTTGACCTCTACCTTGATCAGAATCTCCTCAATACTGTTGTGTCGAACAATGCACGATTCGGAGTTATGGGAACGATTGGGGCCAAGGATGCAATTATTTCCGACGGCGCTGCCACACAGTACGATACTGGTTCGCCCATGCAGGAAAGTGCGTACATCGGTACACCCGACCCAGAGTCTGCGTTCTCGCCCATTCGCCAGGCGGGCGCCGAGTCTCCTGGCGGCTTCACCGAGTACCAACCTACGGGTGGCTTTGGAGGTGGTTTCAGCCCCGCTGCTACAAGCCCGGCAGGCTATTCACCCAGCAGCCCGTTCAGCGCCAATCCAACATCTCCTGGGTACTCCCCAACTTCAAGCTATTCACCTACGTCTCCTGGCATGGGCATCACCAGCCCTCGTTTCATGACGTCCCCTGGCTTCTCTCCTGCCAGCCCATCGTTCGCTCCGACCTCGCCCGCATATTCACCAACGTCGCCGGCATATGGGCAGGCATCCCCGACGTCTCCGTCCTACTCTCCCACATCGCCAGGGTTCTCCCCAACATCGCCCAACTACAGCCCTACGTCCCCCAGCTTCAGCCCGGCTTCTCCTGCGTTCAGCCCTACGTCGCCTAGCTACAGCCCGACCAGTCCTGCTATTGGTGGCGCCGGTCGACACCTATCTCCTACTTCACCTACATCTCCCAAGTACACGCCTACTTCTCCTGGCTGGTCTCCTACGAGCCCGCAGACGTACTCACCTACGTCGCCTAACTTTGCTGGATCGCCGACGTCTCCGGGAGGTCCGACCTCCCCTGGATACAGTCCTACGTCCCCGGCCTTCAGCCCTTCGTATGTACCCTCGTCTTCAGCTTGATTGATACGTGCGTATTGGACTAACATTCTTGCCCAGGTCTCCTCGCCAGTGAGATTAGCAAGTTCTTCGGCTACTTCTTTATGGTTTCCGTTCTATTCCTGTACCATCATCCATTCTATCGAACAATCCATAAAAAGAACACATTTTGCATCTGAGGTTGCGGACTTGGTTGATTATTTTATCCTCAATATGGGCGCCAGCAGCCTTTCTCAAATGTATGTTTTTTTTTTGACGTTTCAGCCTGATTGCTTTTTCTCTTCAATAATTTGAGCCACCCTGCTGAAATTGTGATACATTCTTCTGGGCTGGCGATGCATGTTGTTCTCATTCCTTGCAGTCCCTCTTCCCTTCGGAGCTTCGAAATACCACAATGGCTTTAGAACTGAATGGTTTGTGGATCATCGTCTCGAGTTGGCGAGTGCTTTGGTCCCCTCAAGGAGCGTTGTTAATGATTGTATTACTGCCACTGCTTGTTCTTTTCATGTACACAGCCTAGCCTAAAACGGATTAAAGAGGAATGGATAAATAAAGGAATACTATTCTTAAATGGAAGACATTATTTAGCAGTGTAGGAAATTTGTCGCAGGACATGATAATTCTTGTGATAAGATGACATAGTTTGCATGATAAGTCCATCGGCAAAATGAAGCTCCGCAACGCCAGGTGGCCCGTTCCGCGTGAGCTCTTAATAAGCTGGGCCAGCTTCCCCCGAGACATCGAGACCACATTTCTGACTGTTGGCGAGGTGGATCGATGTCCAGTAAACTGTGAGAAGAGGAATCGCAATGTGCCTCTTATTGCTCCCAAATCCTACCAAGTTTTGCCAGGCAACATGAAGAACCTATGGCTATGGCGTTTCCTGCCTCTGGCGCTCCGTAAGTATCCACTCCGTCAACGTTGGTGGCACCGAGCTTTCATACTGATGATCAGCGATCAATTTCTAGTGCTGCTGCAGGCGCTCGTGGTTGAATCGAAAGTTCAGTCAGAGGATGGTCATACATCAATAGATGTGACTTCCGAAGCATATCAGCATGGAAGCCAATATGCGGGTGAAGCTGAGGGGTCTCACATTTGGCCCGGACATGGTTAGAAGCTATTGATGCCAATGTGTGAACATGATGGGAGGGCGACTGACATTGTCTGCTTATAGAACGTGTCGAAAACGCCCTCAGAATCCTCCATGGAATAAAGCTTTCGACCGCCCGATCTGAGAAGCCCTCGGGCCTCGTCGGATATGTCTTACATTATGCCCAACAGGCGTTCCGCATCCTATTCATGGATGCACCTCAATCGGAGACAACTGAGAAGCGAAGAGTCGATCCGAATGTCGTCAAAGCCGTGAAAGAACTCAAGCTGGCTGCCGAGGAGGATGAGAACCCCGATGCGATGTTCCTATTAGCGGAAATGAACTTCTATGGCAACTTTACACATCCGCGCGATTTCAAGCGCGCTTTCCAGTGGTACCAGAGCCTTGCTTCCTTGACTGGAAACAGTACAGCGCAGTATATGCTCGGTTTCATGTACGCCACCGGCATCGGGGACGGACTGGAGCGCGACCAGGCGAAGGCATTGTTGTATCATACGTTTGCTGCGGAAGGAGGGAACACGAGGTCGGAGATGACGCTGGCGTATCGCCACCACGCTGGTATCGGGACTCCCAGAGACTGCGATCAAGCGACGTATTACTACAAGAAGGTGGCGGACAAGGCGATTCAGTGGTATCGATCTGGGCCGCCCGGTGGCTATAGCATGGCTCGTGAAGCTTATCGGTGGGCGGACGAGGAGGGTGGCGTTTATGGCGAGGGTGCCAGTGTCTCGAGCTCAGGGCCTAACGCACAGCGCGATGGGGTCCAATCTGGTACCGAGGCCAGCTTGGAGGACGTTCTGGAATACCTGGACCTCATGTCGCGTAAGGGGGAGCTCAAGGCCACTTTTAGTTTGGGGAAGCTACACTACGATGGGGCGCGAGGCTTGCCTCGGAATTTCCGAAAGGCAATGAAGTACTTCAAGCAGGTAACGAGACGTTACTGGAACAAGGACGGGTCAGTCAATCCCAATCACCCCATGGGGATCGATAAACTTGCTTCGAAAGCAGCCGGCTACGTTGGAATGATGTACCTGCGCGGCGAAGGCGTCGAGCAGAATTTCAACAACGCTCTTACCTGGTTTAAGCGGGGACTAGTCAACGGCGACTCGCTCTGTCAGCACGAGATCGGACTCATGTATCTCCATGGGTATGGCGTGCCCCAGGACGCCTTCAGGGCCGCTTCGTATTTCAAATCGGCTGCCGATCAGGACTATCCAGCGTCGGAGACCAGACTTGGAGTTCTATTCCTGGATCAGGGAGATGTTGCCACAGCGACACGGTATTTCGAGCTGGCTGCTCGCTGGGGGTCCATGGAGGCCTTCTATTACCTGGCGGAGTTGTCGAACAATGGCATCGGCCGGCAACGACACTGTGGCATGGCCGCATCGTATTACAAGATGGTCGCAGAGCGTGCCGAAGCGATTCATTCGTCGTTTGCCGAATCAAATGCCGCGTATGAGAATGGCGATAAAGAAGCGGCTTTGATCCCAGCCATGATGGCTGCAGAGCAGGGCTACGAAAGCGCTCAGGCAAATGTAGCATTCCTGCTCGATGACCAGCGCTCATTGTTGTCGCTCGACACTATTCTACCTGCGGTTAAGAAGCCTCGTCCGTCTCTTCTTCGAAACGCTGCTCTAGCGCTGATCTACTGGACACGTTCGGCGAAACAGGCGAATATCGACTCCCTGATCAAGATGGGTGACTACTATCTCAGCGGAACTGGCATCGGAGCCGACCCTGAAAAAGCTTCTACTTGCTATCATACCGCTGCTGAGGCCCATTACAGTGCGCAGGCCTACTGGAACCTTGGCTGGATGCACGAGAATGGAGTCGCCGTGGAGCAAGACTTCCACATGGCCAAAAGATACTACGACTTGGCGCTCGAAGCAAATGCAGAAGCTTATCTGCCTGTGAAATTAAGCCTGATAAAGCTGCGGATACGCAGTTATTGGAACAAGATTACGAATGGAAAGGTCAACTCCATTCAAGAGGAAGAAGGTAGGATACCCGAGATGATTTAACCGCTTACACCCTGTTTACATGCTGACCGGATACCGCAGAACAAAAGCCTCGTCGGACATTCAAAGAGTGGATTGCAGCGTTTATTGAGAACAACGAAGAGGAGGAGGCCAGTTATCACTCACAATTGTACAAACACGCGGAAGATGAAGATGACATGCTATCTTCGAATCCAGACGCACGCCCGCTTGATGAACACCGTCATGACGATGGTTACTACGATGACCTCGAACTCGACATTGATGAGAGCGTCCTGGAAGGCCTCATTATTGTCACCTTGGCCGCCACATTACTTGTACTTGTATACTTGAGGCAGCAGCGAAACAGGCAGAGGCCGAACGAGAATCCAGGTGCCAACCCAGCGGCAGTGAACAATCAAAACGACCGCGGGTTTTTCCCGCAGCCAGGAGATCCGGAGTTTGCTCAGTGGGTTGCCGGTGGTGTCGGACATTAATAAACGGAAAGCATCTGCATGGATTCATCTAATTGTACATTCTCTTAAGCACTATTTCATGCTCATAGAATCTTCGTAGTTCTCTAAATATCAGTATCTGTTATCTTATCGGGTAGCAGCTCTTATCGATAAGCACCTTTTTGATCAACTTCTCCAGACGACCTAAAAGTGCATTCTGCCATCGATTCCAAGCCAAAGTGAATCTTTTTGAATCGGCAAGCTGTATGTGAGGATGTGATCCAATGGGAATTTGAATGACATTGTTTGAAATGTCGTCTGTCAATCTGAACGGAAAACGACGTCGCATCGAAAGTGCCGCTGCTTCACTATCGAAGCCGTTCAAGTCACCTCTCCGCAAGCCAGTGCAGGGCACTGTGGATAAGGAGAAGGCCTCCAACAATTCTTCCATCAATACTGAAGCTGAAGGACAAGAAAGACAATATGGAGATGGAAAACATGCACAGGAACATCTTACGCCGTCGACTTCCATCTCTTCTAAACCGACTTCTCTCACAAGCTCATCTCCCGCCTCGCCAGTCCCAAGTTTGCAGAATCGAAAACGAAAACCTACTACAAATCAGATGACTTTATCGAAGAAGAGCATATTAGCAGATCCTGTCATCTCGGAGCTTCAAAAGGAACAAAGAGCTCTACAATCCAGACTCTCGGCTCTCCGCTCTGAACTCGATACCGTGCAGCAAGCTCTACGAATTGAATCGTCGACGAAAGATGCCGAGCTCGAAGCTCTGATCCTTAAATGGAAGACTGTAAGCCAGGAAGCCGCTGAAGAGGTTTTCGAAGGAGCTCGAGAGCGGGTCTCTCGGATGGGGGGTATGAAGGCTTGGAGAGAGCGGATGCAGAGCAACAGCGCCAGGTGGGAACAGGAGGAAATGAATTCATGGTGTGGCAATGCGGAAGCGGAGGGGTTTGAGATGGATGAAGAGGAACTGAAACAGCGGAAAGCTGAGCTCCTTGATGAAGTTGAGATGCCCCGAAAGGAACAGGAGGTGGGTACTGGGGGAGAGACAGTTGAAGATGAGGTATGCTTGGATGGAATGTCGCTTTGACTGGACGAAGAGGATGCTAACACAATATGCACAGGAATTTACAATGGACATTATGCTGAAGACGCTGAATATCGACTTGAAGATGATCGGATATGATAGGTCGACCCAACGATGGATTAAATAATGACTTCAATGACTGTTATATGGTGGCCGCGTTCGGAGATTTGTATACTCGGTCCTTGTTTTGTATGAGTATAACCTTGAGAGTCAGTCATTTATCGCAACAACTTGTCCAATGGTAGACAGGGACAGGCCCATGCCGGGTTCGTATCATCGAAGTGGTCTACGTACAGGATTTCGAGTCCATGGGTTTCCTCTCTTGTTGCATCCTTCCGCTTCGTATCTTTCCAAGTTTATCCATCATCATGGCCTTGATATTGTCTTTGACCAGATAGGGAATACCTTCCAGAGATCTGATTGGCAATCCTCCGTCTCGCTGTGCATCGGAAGCGGCTTCACGCGATACTTCCCCTTGTTTGTGGACAATCTAGTCAAGATTCTGAAGCAAGCTGACATTGCCGGCTCTCTCGATTCAGGGCCATCACCTTAGTATCCTACAAGGCTACAAGTGCCGACGCCTACGACGCCCATCCAACCGGCCATCTTCGGTCTGCATGTTGAGAGTCTTACACAGCAACTGAGGGGACAATCGGACTTTTTTCCGCTGATTGCCAAGACTAGCCCATCTTCGTGCGGAGAATGAAGCTTGGCAATTGGCTTTCACAACAGTTTACGATAACAAAGTATAATCTGAGTGCCAAGAGATAGAGCCCGTGTTATCTACCAGCAGCTGATAACATTATACTCTGCAGTATCTTCTCATTCATATTTAAGGTATCTGAAATTACGGCAGGAATGATTCCGATGGGAATGAGTAGATTGAAACCCGTCAACTTTTGACATTACACCATTTATTTGCACTCCATGTCAGTTGATCTTGCAGCCATGACTGATACTAAGAAAGCCGAGCTGCACGTGCGACACTTCCACAGTCTGGAGAAAAAGGATGATATTGCACCTGGGGAGATTAGAGACATTGGAGCAGACCTCTATGCGGAGGCGGAGCAATTGTCGCCAGAGGAACTGGAGGAAGAAGGGATCCGAGTGCGCAAGATGTTAGATCGCAGGATCTTGCCGATTGTATGGCCCCATCGATCCACCGTCTTGCTAATTGCATCGTGCTGTGTATCAGTCACTGACGCTTCGCCTGAACAGCTATACTTGACCTATGTAATTCAGTTTCTGGGTTAGACACGCTCATTCACACAGACGATGCTTGAAACTCATTTGTGATGCATAGACAAGCTTTCGCTCAACTACGCCTCGGCTTATACTCTCATTCCAGATCTCGGTCTAGAAGGCCAGAGATATTCTTGGGTTGCTGCTATTTTCAACTTTGGGTACCCCAGACCCTTTCTCATACAATGGTGCCGACTTCGCTGACCTTGATAAGGTACCTGTTCTGGGCGATCCCGGCGAATCTCCTGATTCAACGATTGCCCCTAGCAAAGTATATGGGTGGAGTCATCATGATTTGGGCCGGCCTCGTTATTGCGCATATCGGCGCTAAGAATTATGCGGGTATCCTAGTCTTGAGATTCCTGTTGGGCATGGCAGAGGCATGCGTCAGTCCGTGCAGTAAGTTCCAATAAATTTTGACATCCATCACCTCGGACTGGGAGACTGACTAATGCAGTGATGAACTTCACTTCCATGTTCTACAAGAGATCTGAACAGCCCCTGCGTATGAGCATCTGGCTGTCTGGCAACGGCATGGCCACGATGATCGGAGCGCTTCTCGGTTTCGGACTAGGCCATTCTCGTAATACCAAACTTCATAGCTGGCAGCTCATCTTCCTCACTATCGGTCTGATGAACTTCGCCACTGGTTGTCTCTTCCTCTGGCTGATGCCCGACTCACCGAACTCCGCTAAATTCCTCACTCACCGGCAACGCATTGTCGCTGTTCAGCGAGTATCAGAGAACATGATCGGGGTTAAAACCAAGCAGATCAAGCCGCGTCAGGCCCTCGAAGCGTTATACGACCCCAAAGTCCTCTTCTGCTTAGGAATTGGAATTGGCTGCGGCGTCATCAACGGCGGTGTATCGAACTTCGCCTCGGCGCTCATCAAGGGTTTCGGCTTCAGCGGCATCTACGCAACCCTTCTCCAGCTCCCCACGGGGGCCATCGAAGCTGTCGTGGTGCCCATCTGCGGCCTGGTCTCGACCTACGTCCGCGACTCGCGCTGCCTCGTCCTCGCCGTGGTATGCCTCATCCCGTTCGGCGGGCTACTCGGCATCCGATTCACCGGCCTCGACCACAGATGGACTCTGGTCGGCTGCACCTGGCTGCAGTACATCATCGGCGCCCCAGTCATTGTATCGTGGAACCTCTTAGCGACAAATGTCGCTGGACATACCAAGCGCTCGATGGCCAATGGCATGTGGTTCACCATGTACGCAGCAGGCAACGTCGCTGGCGCCAATATCTTCTTCGCCCGTGAAGCGCCCCGGTACCACTCCGCTTTGACAGGTCTGCTAATCTGCTACGCTGGCCTGATTGTCCTGGCGCTTGCTTCGTATGTGTACATGAAATGGGAGAATCTGCGGAGAGATCGCAAGACGTCACCGGAAGATAGTCCCTCGCAGCGCGAGGAAGCCGCCGTTCTTGATGGGTTCAAGGACTTGACTGACATGGAGTCAAAGAACTTCCGCTATGCGTTATAAGGCTTTGACTGGAGATGTTCCAAAGACCGTTGTGTTCATCTTGTAGGCCGTCTTTTTCATAATAATGCCATTCGTTGTGTTTGATGCTGGCCCGGCTCTAATTGCATTTGTAAAATTCGTCCCAGTCAGGAAACGAAGAATGGGACGGTGGAGACTGCGGACTGCCGGCTAAATGCAGCGTGGGGCGGTGGAGCCAGGGGCTTGCCACGTGATGATAGATGCGGAGCAACGCATGTGGCACGGCGCAAAGTCCATGTCTGATACGGTAACACATTAGGTGGAATGGAAAGTACGATTATCAAATTGTTGGTGACAGCTCTTCTAAATGAAAATGGATGTGATGAAAGCTCCCTTAGATTTTGTGACATCATGAATTGTTGGTTTATGTACATGCAACGTCATCCTAAGCTTCATGTCATACAGTCCCTGAACCTAGGCCTTCTCAATGTACTGGTCGAAAATCTCGCGGATGACCTTGGCGCTCGTCTTGGGAATTCTCTTTTGGTCGTTCTCGTAGTCGACAAAGGTGACGCCAAATCTGGTCTCGTACCCTTCGGCCCATTCGAAGTTGCTGCACGGGGAAGAATATCTGTCAGCCAGCTGGTTCGGTGCGTCTGAATGTAAGACAAACTTACTCCATCAAGCTCCACGCCATGTAAGCGCGGACATTCACACCGTCCAGCGTGTAGGCGTCCGCCATGGCGGCGATATAGTCGCGGAAATATTGCACACGGAACTCGTCGTTCAGGATCTGGTCCACGGGCAGGTCATTCTCGCCCTTGAGACTGGTGCCATTCTCGGTAACGTAGATCTTGGGCTGGTTGTAGCGGTCGCTGAGCCATTTCAGCAGTTTCCGGAACCCAACGGGGTGGGGTCGCAGCCAGGGCGACTGTGTCTCGGGACCGATCCATTCGCCGTTCTTGTTCTGCAGGAGGATCTCCAGGTTGCCGGCGACGTCCTCGGGATCCGCCTCGCCTGTCTTGGCTTTGATGTAGTTGGCGCAGTAGTGGTTCATGCCGTAGAAGTCGTTGCTGCCGTGGACGAGTGCGATATCTTCGGGGGTCCAGGTGGGCAAGCGGTCACCCAATTGTTTGATCATGCTGTCTGGGTACTTGCCGTGATAGATGGGGTCAGCGAACCAGGAGATAGCGAACTCGATCTTGCGATCACAGGCCTCGACGTCCGCGGGGTTCTCCGGATCCCAAGGCTCAGCCCAGTCACCTGGAATTTGATCAGCAACTGCACCATCAAGTCTTGCACACGGAGGCCAGAGCTCGTACCATTCAATGTGATGCCAATCTCACCACCGTCTCTGGGCTTGAGTTCTTCTCTGTAAATCTTTACCGCCGCTCCGTGAGCGACAAGAATGTTGTGGCCGACGATCCAGGGCTCGCGCGAACCGTCGCCCACAGGACTCTTGGTACGGTCGCTGGTTCTGCCAGGGGCGAACTGGCCCACATTGAATCCGAGCACACTGCTGCACCAGGGCTCATTGAAAGTAATCCAGTACTTGACTTTTGAGCCGAAGGCATTGAACATTATGCGAGCGTAGTTGGCAAAATCGGCAACAAATTCTTCCTTGTTCAGAAGACCACCGTAGCGCTTGTCAAGCGCATCGGGCAGATCCCAGTGGAAGAGGGTAACGAGAGGAGTAATACCAGCCGCGAGCAAGTCGTCGACGAACCTGACATAGTGCTGGAGACCCTTTTCATTGACAGGGTCATTCCGGCCACCGAGAGGGATGACACGAGACCTGCATTTTATGATCGAGATGGGGTTAGCCGAAGTCCGTTCTCTGAATCAGTGCCCGGAGGCTGTGCAAAGACGCACCAGGAGATAGAAAAACGGTATGCCTTTGCACCACACTCCTTGAGCAGGGCAATATCCTCGTGGGTGCGGTGGTACGAGTCGCAAGCCACCTCACCAGAGGCTCCACCGGCTATTTTGCCGGGAATTTTGCAAAATGTATCCCAAATAGATGGGCCTCGTCCATCTTCATCCACAGCTCCCTCAACCTGGTAGCTAGATAAGGAAATAACGACGACAATTAGTTAAAAGCCCAGTAAAAGAGACGACATAAGATCGGGACATACCTCGCAGTTGCGAACCCCCAAAGAAAGCCCGGAGGAAGAGTCGAGGTAGTGGTGGAGCCCATGACGAAATGATATCGAGGGAATGGTTCGAACAGGTTTCTTTCCGTTCAGTGGATGGGACAGCTACTGAAAGAAGCACGGGTATGTCTTGAGGATTTTTCTGCAGGACGACAGAGGGCA